CACTCTGTCAAATCTGGCTCCTTGAGATGTAAACAGGAATCATACGGTTTTAGATGAGTGTGCTGTTTAAGAACCAGCCATGGTGTGGACACCCTTCATAATGTTCCAGGCAATCCAGAAAATACCAATTGTCTTTTCTACTAAATTTGCTTCAGGATATGTCAGAGCAGTACCTTAAAGGACAGTCTCTGCCGTAGAGCTGTCACAGCCTGCCTCGCTGAGGGCTTGATAACCAAGCGGCTCACCAATAAGAAGTGTGCTTATCCACACAGCTTACTGTCTCCATAAAGTCACTGAACAGGGATGCCTACTTTGGGTTTTGAGAACAGCACTTAAGTTGCAAGTCATCCTCTGAAGGTTGTAGTTGCTAAGTTCAGGTTATCCTATACTGGCCAGCAGTTAGACTAGAACTTACCACAAAGATGAATGAAAATCCATGGTCTGCTTTATGCAAATAGCCCTAGTACTGGCAAAAGCATTTCACCTGCATCCAAAATTAGCACGATCCCCTTAACGTCCATGTTCTGGCTGAGCATTTTAAGGGTTTTATCAGTGAGAAAGTGTTAAATGAAGTCCCTTCCTTCCTCTCTGCTCTGAAGGGAACAAGGAGCTCCTTAATTCAATGGAAGAAGCCATGGAGGAAGCAAGCCAGAGAAAGCTACATCAGACATAAGCAGACATCCACTTTAAAGTAACACAAAAGTTATTACCTCTTTTAATATCCTACTGCAGCTTACCCTACTAGGGCAGGAAAATCTATACTGCCTAGCAAAGGATGCCAGATGGAAAATTCCACTGAGCTTAATTAGCTCACTGCTATTCCTGGATGACTGATACTGATGCAACTGTAAGATGGAGATTTTTTAGTTTTTCCTAACATGCAGTTTTACTTTAGTTCTTAAAGGTGTATTGTTGAAGATAGGAAGTAGTGCTTTGATTTCAGCTGAGAAAACTAAAATAAACACTATCTTCTCAGGCTACAGTGGATACTTAAATGAACAGTCTAGTATTTTTTGTGTGTATTACTGCATGACATAAAATGGTTTCATAAGTTTTACATAAAATCAGAAAAAAAAATAGTAAAAAGAGACTGAAGGTATTAGAGCCAGACAGACACATGTATTGCGTTTGCATGGCAAGGTTTTGGTAGCGGGGGGGCTACAGGGGTAGCTTCTGTAAGAAGCTGCTAGAAGCTTCCCCCATGTCCGACAGAGCCAATGCCAGCCGGCTCCAAGACGGACCCACTGCTGGCCAAGGCCGAGCCCATCAGCGATGGTGGTAGCGCCTCTGGAATAATGGATTTAAGAAGGGAAATAGTTGTGGCAGAACAGAAACTGCAGCCAGACAGAGGAGTGAGAAGATGTGAGAGCAACAGCCCTGCAGACCCCCAGGTCAGTGCAGAAGGAGGAGGAGGAGATGCTCCAGGTGCCGGAGCAGAGATTCCCCTGCAGCCCGTGGGGAAGACCATGGTGAGGCAGGCTGTCCCCCTGCAGCCCAGGGAGGTCCACGGGGGAGCAGATCTCCACCTGCAGCCCGGGAACAGAGGACCCCACGCCGGAGCAGGGGGATGCCCGAAGGAGGCTGTGACCCTGTGGGAAGCCAGCACTGGAGTAGGGTCCTGGCAGGACCTGTGGCCCCATGGAGAGAGGAGCCCACGCTGGAGCAGGTTTGCTGGCAGGACTTGTGACCCCGCTGGGGACCCACGCTGGAGCAGTCTGTGCCTGAAGGACTGCAGCCCGTGGGAAGGACCCACGCTGGAGCAGTTTGTGAAGAACTGCAGCCCATGGGAAAGACCCACACTGGAGAAGTTCATGGAGGACTGTCTCCTGTGGGAGGGACCCCACACTGGAGCAGGGGAAGAGTGTGATGAGTCCTCCCCCTGAGGAGGAAGGCGCGGCAGAGACAACATGTGATGTACTGACCCCAACTCCCACTCCCCATCCCCCTGCACCACTGGACGAGGAAGAGGTAGAGAATTCGGGAGTGAAGTTGCGTCTGGAAAGAAGGGAGGGGTAGGAGGAAGGTGTTTTAAGATTTGGTTTTATTTCTCATCCTCCTGCTCTGATTTGATTGGTCAAAAAATTAAACTAATCCCCCCAAGTCAAGTCTGTTTTGCCCATGACAGTAACTGGTGAATGATCTCTCCCTGTCCTTATCTTCACCCATGAGCCTTTTGCTATATTTTCTCTCCCCTGTCCAGCTTAGGAGGGGAGTGTTAGAGCCGCTTTGGTGGGCACGTGGCATCCACCCAGGGTCAACCCAGCACACAACACATGAGCAAAGCTGAATGTCCAGAGAATGCTCAGAACCTGTAGAAAAATACTATTGCCTGGAGACAGTGATTAGGAAAGCCAAAATGAACATCAGAGTGGGAAAATAAAAAAAAAAAAAATTAAAAAAAAACCCAGAGGCTCGTCAAATTCTTATGAAGAACAAATGAGGCAACTCAACTACAGATAATAGCAGATAATAGCAGACAAATCAGCTAGATTCCCAAGGATTAGGATGAAGGCATTTTATATTTATCTTGTGAAAGGTTAAGTAATGTTCCCATTTACCCCCGGCAAAAATACACCACACAGAGAGGCCTTCCCAGGCTACTTTGAAATTAAAAAGAAAAAAGCTTAATTCCTCATCCAGCACCAAAATATACTTCACTTTGGCTTTGCTTTTCCTATTTTTATTTTAAACCTTCCTCATTCATGGCAGGGGGATGGGTGCGGGGAGACATGGACAGACAGACGACATTTTATTGTCATTGATGTTGCTTTAGCTATCCAAAAGAACTAACCAATATGGCTCAAAACAATTACTGTCCTGTCAGCTAGCCATACCAGAAGTTACACTTGAGTGTACAAAGTATGAAACCAAACAACTTGCATTGCATTGCCAAACTGTCTCAGAAAGAAGATACATTCACTACCCTTTGCTGTTGGTCTCCACAAGAAGACTCCTTGTGTCTCACTTTCTGTTACTGCATTGCAAGGTAGATGGCTCTTACATCACCTAAAGCCTCCTTCAATTTTCTGTGAAAATCCAGAGCATTCTCAAACAAAATTTCACTTGAAGGCATTTTACATTCTCCCAAAAGAAAAGCCTTAAAACATAAATAAGTTAGGAACAGACTGTTTGCCTTAACGTTTTTTTTTTTTCCATCAAGAAAATTTCCAGTAAATTCTGTATTTTCCACAGAAACTCTCAACATGAGTTACATGCATGTGATTTTCTGGGCTGGAAGATACATTAACTCCATCATGTATCAAACTAGAAAAATCTTTCCCAACTCTTCAGCTACCACAGTTTCAAGTAGAAACTAGAAACTTCTCACTGGTGAGATTTACTTTACTACATCCATGAAAAATCTACCCATCTACAAGCAATTAAAAGTTTTGGGGGATAATCCCATCACCGTTCAAACATAATCATGGAGAACTCTGTATTTAAAAATTAACAGAAAGCACTCTCATGTTCTATCTTCCTTTAACATGATGGAGTGGAACTGATGCTAAAAGACAAACTTCCCCATTGACATATTTGCTTACATCTAGTCACCATGACCAAGCATCAGCTGTGACAAGATATCTGGCAAAGCACACAGCTGAAGAGTAGTGCTGAAAAGAGCAACTTGCTCTGAAGAAAGAATAAGTCAAGACTGAAACCTAGCTTGTGGAAAAAGGATGGGGTGAAGGCAGGATGGGAGAGCTGGGATTAGAAAGGGGAAGCAGCAATGCACGTAGTAACATGGAGAAGAAATGCAGACTCACAGAACACAGTCTGTAGATGAGAAGGACCAAGAAGACTGAGAAGACGAAAAGACAAAAGCAGGAACTAGACTTAGACCTACTGTGGGTGGGAGAAAGCGTACTGGAGAAACGTTATAGAAAGTCAGAAAAAGGGCAAAACACAGGAACAGGGAGCAAGAGAAATGAGAAACTCTGACGAGAAGCCAAGACAATAGGAAACAAATGTACAGAGAATGTTTGTACTCCAGAGGTACAGATCTGCTGAAGAAACAGATGAAACAGGTATCTATTTGTGATGAGTAGTCCTGAAACAGGCCAATACTGCATACAATAAATAAGGTCTACAGAAACAGAAGAATTAAGTTCATTAATGAAAGAGCTTCAGGAAAAAAATATCACAACAATGCTACATAGGCAAGCTTTATTCTGACACTTCTTAACTTCTGAAAGCTAATCATAGCAACTTAATAAATGTATTTTAAGGTAATTTCTGCCATACTTTTAAAATTTTAAAAGACATATTCTTTTTCTCACATACTATTTTACAATTAGCAAGCATAAAGAAAAAGGACTCTGAATAATCACAAGAAAAATTCTAATTAAAGATTGTGGAGGTAGGCACAGAAAAGATAATAGAATCTTAATACAGGAAGAAGAGATCCTGTACACATTTTGTAACTAGTGCCCCACGAAACAACCACCTCCACTCTGCAACCGAAAAGCACAAACACAAAGGCTGAGAAGAAACAAAGAAAACGATTCACTTAAACACCCAGAAGGTCTATCACCTGCAAACAATTAAAAATCTGGATTTGACTAAGAGAAGAAACTATTTGACCTGAAGTTTGTTCCATAGCTAATCGAGCTACAAAACAGACTGGATTCTCAGGCAACAATGTTGCTTGAAATAATTTGAAAACTTGATATTTAATCTCCTATCTTAAAGATTTTATAAATCCAAGTTAATAAAATTATCAAGACACAGGATGTTTTAAAGTGCTTTGCCATTAGCTTACAACCAGTAAACAAAACACCAAAAAAAGAGCAAACTCATGAAATGAAAGGTGTTGATTTTAAACTGTAAAATGTTTTTTTTTGGGGAAAAAAACAACAACAACAAAACAAAAACTAAAACCTACACAGTGATGAATAGATAAATATTTGCACAGTTTTTAATGGCATGAATTAACACTTCAAAAATGGACAATGTGTGAATAGCTCCAAACATCTAAATCTGCATATGTTCAAGTTTCTTACCAGCTACTGGTAAATCCAGCTTTGCCCGTTTCAATTCTGATAGAGAATTTTGGAGCTGGTCTATTACAAAGTCATCTTCATAGAAGAAATCCTTGGCTAAAGACTCCTGCAGAAATTCTACAAGCTCTTCCATTTGTAATTTCATCAGATGCTCTATATAGGAAGAAATTATTATACATTAAAATATCTTGATTATGGACATTGGAAAATGCACTTAAGACATTAGATGCTTTTGTTTTCAAAGTAGAATGAAAAACACTTCTTAATTAAGCAGGTAACAGAATTTTACATCAGAAATCTATAAAATGCATTAAAAATTCACTTGCAAATCAGCATGGAAGTACTTTCTACTTATCATTCTCTACTTAGGACAATGTTTTCCAGGAAGGGGCATCTTCAGAAAACTAACTACAAGTCACCCTCCCTCAGCCTTATGTCCAACAGCTTCAGGTCTTTATTTTTCAGCCTGCATCCTTAGCTTACAAAATACTGCTGTAGATCTGTAAATCATACATCATCTCTCTTATTAAGAGCTTTGAAAAGCAGTAAAACATTTTGAAGATTTGTATTTACAGTATCTTCATTCACAACTGAATTAACTTCCAATGAAATGATGATGGCAGTTCACATTTCAGAACCATTGCTTCAGGCTCTCTGAAAATTCAGGTACTTTTTGCTACTTCAATCAAATTCAGGTCATACTTTGAAAGTCATTTTACAGTTATCAGATTATTTTTCTTTCCCTTTCTACACAGCAGTAAGGCCATGTTTCCCACACAAACCTATGTGGCTCGCAAGTCTGCAACTGTGTAACTATGTAACTTCTTTAAGCATATGTATGCCATCAAAAGTTCCAGAATGTACAATTTCTAAACAGAAACCATAAAAAATGTTTTTGCACTGTAATAAAAATGCTCTTGGCATATATTCCACAATGGCACTTTGACTGGATAGCTATACTATTAATGTTTTTAAGGGTAGACAAGAGACTGGAAAACAAATCAGAGCCGTCTTCTGCCACCTTCTCTACCAGTCCTCCAATCTCTTCTCTGCTGCCATAAGGTACTCTCGGTGTTTTAATCGTGGAAGAAGTTGCTACGTACTTGTCAAGCAAGCAAACCTGCACTCAAGACTTTTTCCTCAGGTCTTCTCATAAAAAGAGTAGTGAATAAAAAAAAATTAAAATAAAAATTCAAGCAAATGTCTATTTGCAAATAAAGAAAAGAAACCAAAATGCTAAGCCTAACAATTTGCCTCTAAATGTTTAGCTTTCTTAAGTACAATAATTAAAAAAGTAACCTTTTTCATTTTTCAAAGCAGTTTATGAACAGACTAATGAATACACCCTAGTGAGACAGTGAGGTAGTATCACCACAGTTCAAGGAGGGTAAACTAGCATGCAAATTAAGACATCAATTCTGCAGGCTCCATGCAGACCTCTGAATTTACATAGAGTTAAACGACTTCACTAAGAAAGCCAAAGTCCCAGAGCAAGACTATCAAACTCGAGCTACAAGGTATCACCCTGAGAAATGTTCAAGCATATTTAGAAGCTAACATCCATCCTCAAAAGCTTTTTGGATCCTTCGGAACTTAAGGTGCTAAACCACTTTGGGGAACCAGACATAAATGCTTTGGGCAATTCTTCTGTTCAAAATCTCAAATCTTACTTTACCCAAAGGCAAGAGATGGAAGAGAAGGCCATCCAGGCAGACTACAGAAATTCTGAATTTTAATTACATTCTTGGACAAACAACAGCATAGAGAGAGACATATGATTCCTCATTGCTGAGTTGTTTGCTGATAAGAGTTTCAGGCACTTAGTGGCATACTCTGGATTCTTTGTGAGCTTTTCAGATTAATTTAAATCCTGTAGGGGCTAACAAGCCATTTCCAAAATGTGGAACTACAATATTTTTTCTCCATTGTTTAATCAGCAATGCAGCTCACCTCATGTTGATGTTTAAAAAAATTTCTTACTGTAATAAATATTTTTGTTTGGCAATCACACTGTATTGGGTCTGGCTGAGATGGAGTTAATTTTCCCCACGGCAGCCCTCATAGTGCTGTGCTCTGTATTGGTAGCTAGAAAGGTGTTGATAACACCCCGGTGTTTTGGCTACTGCTGAGCAGCGCTCGCACAGCATCGAGGCTGTCTCTCCAACATTTTCGCCCCCCTCACCAGTAGGCTGGGGCTGGGCAAGATCTTGGGAGGGGACACAGCCAGGACAGCCGACCCAAACTGGCCAAAGGGATATTCCACACCGCATGGTGGCTGCTCAGCAATAAAAGCTAAGAGGAAGGAGGAGGAGGGAGGGACATTCGTTATTACGACATTTGTCTTCTGGAGAAACCGCTACCTGTATTGGAGCCCTGCTTCCAGGGAAGTGGATGGGAAGTAGAGAATAAATCTTTTGTTTTCCTTTGTTTCCACATGCAGCTTTTGCTTTATTAAACTGCCTTTATCTTGACCCACAAGTTTTTTTCCATCTTCTTTTCTCTCCCCACCCCATCCTGCTGAGGAGGGGAGTGATAGAGCGGCTTGGTGGGCACCTGGCATCCAGCCAGGGTCAGCCCACAACACACACATTAATAAAACAAAGATTTTTGATCTTTTTGTGCATTAGGAAGGAAAAATACCTGTCAGAAATAGCACAAGGCAAATGGGAAACTAAGATTTTCACACAAGGTCAAGCTACACAAAATAAGACCACCACCAGCTGAATCTGTTTAGCATTCAAATGTTTGAGAGATTTCTTACTTCTGTGTAGTTTCAGAATTGTGTAAGACATAGCAGTGAGAATCCGCTCTCCTTCAAGTATGTAGATATCCCATATCCTGAGGCTTAATGTAAAGGGAGTCTGCAATAACATAATCAGGCAACACTGTGAAACAGTTTGTCCCAAGTCACAATTAAAAACAGAAATAGAAAATGAAAAACATACTCACACGATCAAGGAAACACTGGAAAAACCACTTTGTTGTGTAAAAGCTAGTGGACATATCCTGGGAGTCCTGTAAAAACCGCAGTTTAAAAATACTCACAAAAATCAAGTAATGCCTTGCACTGTCCATGAAAAAACATTTTCACCTTGTGGCCAATGTACCCAATACTCACCATAAAGAATTAATTTAACTACATGAAACACTGCTACTTCAATCCAACAAATACAATTTCTGTCTTTTATATTTTTTTGTCATCAGCTTCACCACCCGAAGAAACATGCATTCAGAGATGCAGAGGTATTAACACATCTTGGACCTCCATCTTATTCTTGGGACAGAGGTAGCAGAGGATTAAATCCTCTCTCAAGAAAAAAAAAAAAAGAAAAAGAAAAAAGAAAGATATTCTGGAGCAACCAAAGTTCAGGCACTGAGTCCCTTTAGTCTTTCATTTCTCTATAGCAAGGTTGCCAATTCACATCAAAGGTTGAAAAGATTTTGTGACAAGAATATTTATCTACCAGAAATCAGCCTAAAACAATCAAATTCTTCAAACCCAGGACCTCAGAACAGCACTTAGACTGATAAGGAATTTAATTCCTTAATTAAGGGCCTAATTACCCCTACAGCATAGATGGTCCATCTGGTATGCCACCCCATTCAAAGATGACTAGAGCTTCTTTGCAGTTTCATGGAGCTCTTCAAAGTTCTTTGCACAGTTAGAGGAAAAGCCACAGTAAAAGTTGAAAAGTTAAGAAAATCTGAATTTTGACTTTGGGATAACATCACATTCTATTGCTTGCCACGTTCATCTTTTCCAAAAATTTCCAGTTTACAAACCCTGATTAAGCAATGGACCAAATCTAAAAATTTCAATTATACAAACACTGAATAAACAATGGTCCAAATCCCTCTGGCTTATCTGCAGGCTTTACCTTCATCTTTCAGCGAGTTAAAATGAGCTCATCTTAGTGATACATTCACAGTAAGAAATGAGGAAAAATAATTCGTAATATAATTGAAATAATCTTTGAGATTTTCATTTTGAGAGTCTTTAAAAAAAGCAGACAGAACAAAAACCCACCTTATTTTGAGACTTTTCTAACCTGCATGAATGGCCATCAGCCTACTGAAAGACAGATATAATGGACCATGCCTTTCCCTGATAAAAAACCTGATTGCTATTAAATTTAATGCCACTAAAGTAATTCACACAAAAATAGAATTAAGTTCTGATTTAAAACTGAGAAGAAAAATAAATAATAAATATATATAGAGAGTGAATGTCTTCTGGATCCCTCTAAACAAGTGGCCAAGAACTCCCTCAGAAGGGAGCTATCAAAGCATTTTATTTAAACTAGCTTTTTCAGTTATTAAAGCAACTTACTGCACTTTTCTGAAACTTTCTTTTTCAAGTGACCCAAAGTGGGGGGGGAGATGAGTGACGGGGACGGAAGACAGAAAAAAAGTTCTTGATTATTAAATGCAGTAATAAGAGGTATGTAAGCAATATACAAAATTTAATAACGTGCCAGCCTCAGGTTGTATCACCTCAATCACATATAATTTGGATTTTTGGAAAGTGTAAGGGCCATTTACCATTTACTGTTAAAACCACCCAATCTTCTTGGGATTACTTCGTATTTTGTTCCTAAAATGTGAACCTCAAAAATGAGAATAAGACTGCATACAAGAATCATCTTGCATGTACTGTAAAAACTAAATCTGCAACTTTCATTTCAGAGTCAAGTTAGTTACAGAACTGGTCTTGATTTTTATTTTTTTTTTTAATATGATAAGATCGTCCTGCATGACTAATTTTGACTTGACCTTTTAATAGAAGAGTCATTTTTTTTTCCTAACCAGATCTGCCCATTTCCATGTTATGAGCAGGTCTTACAGCATGTTGTTAAAAAAACACATGAAATTCTATTTTATAATACAACAGGCACACATTAGATGCAATTCATCATTGCCAAGGTGCTCGTCTGCTCCCAAATTGTCTTTTTTTTCTTTTTGTAAGGAGATAAAATACTAAACAGAAAATAATATAGTCCTGGGAAGGTAATGTTTGTAGAGCAGCTATTACTCTTAGATGATGTTGCTGCAGCTGGGCATCATTTACGCTACCTTTTAAGACTTGGAGATGGATTCTGGCAGAATCAATGTGATTGTAAAAGAAAATTCTTGATGACTATTGGAAGGGCATTTTTCTCCCCTTAGAAAAATAATTTGTTCCTTAGAATAAATACAGCCAATATTAGCAAAAAAATAAAGAGCATATTATTACCTATTTAAGAGCATTAGAAGGGACAACACTCAACATTTAGCTTCGTGAAAATACTACTGAGTATGTGCAAATTTTAAAAGGACCGTTAAGTCCTCTTATAAAGGTTATTTTTTAAACAGAGACTAAAACTGGTTGGTTGCAAAGTCACCTCTGTCCAGAGATGAGCCACAAAGCTCTACACACAATAAACTCTTGATAAAATGTTTTAACATCAGCTTGCTATACAGCAGTTTGCTCAAGTCCAGGTAGAAGGACCACATATTTTCCTCAACTCAGAGGTCAAAAGTGAGACAGACACCCAATTTCATTACACTCAGGATCCAATTTTATCATAACTCTGCCAAGGTGCACCATAACTTTGTCTATAATGAAAATAACAGCACTTTTGCCTCTTAGAGCTTTGCATTTTTTTCTGAGGTTTGAGGTATTCTTAACCTAGTGTGTTAACCTGAACTGAAACAAGGTAGCAAGCTGTAAATTACAAATGCTTTTATTGTGATATAAATACTTACCAAATGCTGCTTAAGTTTGGACAAAAATTTTTTCAGTATTTTGTCATGATGTTCTTGAAACCTCAACAGTTTTGGAAAACCAGGAATAAAAAAACCTAAGAAAAGAAGTTGATGATGTAACAGGTGTATGTATAATAAAAATTATATTAAAAAAAGGCATTCAGACCTCTGAGAACATTATCCTTCCGTATGACCACTGGATCTGAAGAGATATTCATAGCATTATTATTATGTCCACATACAGATACGCACATACTCCTGCCCAGATGACTACAGCAAAACATCAATACATTCCTTTAGTGACTATTATTAGTTTAGTAATGGTACATGACAGCAGATCCATCAGTCTTATGTTAGTCTACCCACTATAAGTTCATGGGGAAACCAAATTTATAATTATCCTTTAAAAAACAAAACAAAAACCCCACAACCACACCAACTAAAACTTTTAAAAGCCAAAAAGACATAAATCAGGATTATGCCCAGCAAATTCATGATAGAAGGGCAAAGAGCATAGGCAGCTACTAGAACCATCTGCACTGAAGAAAAGGCCATAAAAAAAGAAGAGGGATATTCTACCAATACAAATATGAATATATACTATAGGTAAGGATTGTGAGCTCATACAACTGAAACTAAGGGCACATTAAAAATCTTGAATAGCTTTAGTGATCATACACTGGAAAAGAAAAGCACTAAGATCCCCTTCCAATTGAGTTATCAGCAAAGTTTAAAAAAAAGGCTCAGAGCAAACATGTAATACTAGCCAAATAACTTGAAATGTAAAGGAAAGCTAGCACAGCTACACAGGAGGAAAAGAAACCATTCAAAGAAGATCCTTCAAAAAGCTGAAGCTGTGTTCAGATCAGAAAAACAGAGATGATCAAACACTGGCAGTAGAAAAATATGAAAAACAAGCCTCCCCCCAAAAAACAAGTTACAAAAGACATTAAAAAAATACTAATAGACCTATTTTCAAACACCTTGGAAACAGAAAGCGTGACAGAGAATTTGTAGGTTCAACAGTTTGTGAAGATTTTTAGAAGTGCTTAGACAAGATAAAGTCAAGACTAAAAACAAGTTAAATTTTTGCATTTAAGATACTGGGAAGGTTCCCAAGTCAGAACCCTAAACAGCTCTAAAAGAACTCAAAGATCAACTAGCTGAAATACCGATTCTGTGAAACCTCTTGCTTAAAATACCAGGAGCCTGGAAAGTGGACGACATGATGTCAGCTTTTCTTAGACTAGTTTTCAGTCCAATATTGGTCCAATATTTAGGCCAATACTCTGAGAGGAAACTGACAGAGACCATAACAAAGAAAGTTGTGGTAAGTGGATGTCCAGATGGATGGAATGCACCAGAGAAGAGTCAACATGGTTTTTACAAAGAGAGGTCATGTCTCTTAAATCTACTGGGCTTCCTGGAAGAAATCAGCAAGCATGTAGGCACAAAGAGCAGTGGATATTGCCTGATTTGACTTACAAAAAGTACTTAATAGAGTCTATCACTGAAGTAGCTTCATGTCTTCAGTCCATCTCCTAAAGCAGCTAATCCAATGAGTTAAAAGATCGTAAAATAAAAAAGACAAAAAAGCTTCACCTATGAAGTTGCATAGGAGTTTGTACTGGGACCTAAGCTATTTGACACGTGCCATGTGTCTGCACTGTGAACAGTCAAGTCCTAGCCATCCTGAAAGAGTACTGGAAAATCTGGAAAAGGCAAGAAGTCAGAAATTATCAAAGCATACAACCACTTCTATGTCAAGAACAGATTAAAACGCTATGGCTGATCAGCCTGCAGCAAAGAAACAACTAAGGGGAAATACCACCAAGTGCCAGCAGTGTACAGGTTATGAATATTCACTGTCTTCTCTAAGGCAAAATCTAGAGGGCATCATCAAGAAACCATTGTGTGACAGAGCCAAAACAAAAATGGAAGAACACAATCCAGAGTCAAACACAATGAATTATTTAAGGAAGAAGAGTCTACTGGAGACTATTAAAGGCAAAACAAATTTCCATCTCAAGAAGCTCATCCAGAAATTCTTTCAGCCTCTAACACATTTACCAGGCGGTGTTGATTCTTGGTTGCCTTATTCTCGACACTTCACTGACCATCTGTTGCTGGTCACTATCAGACACAGGACACTGAGTTAAATAGGTCTAGTACAGCAATCCCATATTCTTAGGATTAAAAAAGGCTACAAAAACCCCTCAACAGTTTTTACTTCTAAACGATAGACAGTATGGAAACTGGAAAAAGTATGAACACAGAACACACGTCACTTCAAAAAAACCAAAAGAATCCCTAAAAAGTCCCAAATCAAAAAGAAAACTCTAGTTACCAAATATGTAATTCGGTACATGGTCACTAAACTGCAAGATTTACTATCTCAATTTCACACAGGTTTAGTATTTCATAGATACAAATGCACATTCTATCATACTTAAATGTCAGGTTGCATATTAGGAAATTTTGCTAATATAGGCGAGGTGTTTGGGTTTTTTTTCTTAATCTAAACAGTGAATGACTACATCAAAGCTAATTAGCCATCATTAACAACATTCAAAGGTGCTTTTTCCATAGGAAGTTCTTTCAATTTATATCTACCAACTCATTATCTTGAATTTTTAAGACTATAAAAACACCAATGGAAAGAGCTTTCAAAAACCTAAACCATTTTCAGGGTCAGATACCTGTATTTTATCATTTAGAGACTTCACATTATCCATACATTACGAAACCTCAAAGGCCAAATTCACCCCTTGATTTCAGGTGGTTTGTGCTAGAAGTTAGTCTGCCTATGTATCTAAGACACATGGGTTGCACCCAAAAAAAGCATTCCAGGTTTCCAGATCACAAGCAGAAGAGAAAAACAGATGAAAACTTTCTCTATGAAGAAGAACAAACAGTTGGCAAACAGTGCTTGAAACTACTTTCCCCAAAGAACACAGAAAAAGTGCAGTTAGATGACACCAGTTAAGTCAGTTTTAAAGTTTCCCTTCCAGAATCTACAGTGATATTTACAGTAATTCTGCACTGTGGCATAAACTCATTTAAAACACATACATTCAAAGAATCATAGGAAATCTAGGTTGGAGGGGACTTCTGGAGATTATCTGGTCCAACTTGCTGAAAGCAGGACCTTAGATTAGGTTGGTAACATTTAACAAATGATAAATTTGGAACATTTGAGTTATAATTAAGGTTTTGTCAGCATATCTATAAATGCAAACTTTCTTAACAGATGTTGCCAAGACAGCTTCAATGTGTGTATAAACCTACGGCATGATGGTTCGTATACCCCGTGGAGGAACTCATCAAACCTTAGGCTAATCAAAGCTCCCTCCTTCCCTCTCTAATCACTCAACAGGTGTGTGCCCTGTAACTCGGGGTGGAAAGAAGGGAAGGAATGAAGGAAGGAGAGAGGGAGGTCTGAATGGGGTATCCAGTAACAGTTATGCAGGCAGTGTGCTGACTCCCATACATACACAAGCACACATCTGCCTGCGTAAGTCCATCACCAGCTACCATACAAACCCTTTTGTTCATCACAGCAAGTTCAAATGATGACTACAAAAATCAGCCTGAGAAATTCATGTTAAGAGTTCTCCATTAGCATGACATTGCAAGGTTAGGATGCTTTCCTGTTTTTTAAAAAAAAAAAAAAAAAAAAGTGACACGGACAAAACACTGAGACATAAAAAACTGGAAAGTTTTAAAATCCTGTTTAACACTGTACAGCATCTTAAAAAGGCAACCATGCCTATGCGAAGCTCCCATGTATCAAAACCAGATCAACTGATTTGGTATATAATGACTTGATTTAGACTTACTCCCCCAAACACCTAAAATTTTCTATGAGCTTTGAGGAGCTCAACATTCTACGCAGTTGTAGTTGCATAGCTCTTGATTATTATTATATTTATAGATTTTTTTTAAGATGCTTTTAGTCTGTGTTATCATTGTGTAAAGCTCCAAGCAAGTCTTTGACTCATAATGAATTCAGAATGTCACTTATGACACCAATCCTCACATGAGATTGTGCTTTTTGGGTATTTTAAAGGCGATAGCTTTGCAGAAGTATAAACAAAAAAATAACCAACTAGCACTTCATCTTGGGGGTGAAGAACATCCAAAAACACTGAAAAGTCAAAAGATATCGCAGTATGAAAAAGTCTTAAGCAGGGAAAAGGAGATAGAGCTTGTTGGAAATTTGCTAAAAAGCCTAAGTTCTAGATAATATTTACTTTTTCAGACTTCCAAGAAAGACAGCTTTTCTGAATCACCACATCACTAACATCTACAAAAGATGTGGGAATTCCTGGAGTTGTTCCATACCAACAGCCATGGAATATGCATAGATCATATTAAATCTGGCATGGAAAGAGAGGACTATCAATAACATAAAAGGAACAAGACTGTGAGAGCAGGAAATACTGTACGTGGCAGAGAAAACCAAAAAACCCAAACTTAATGCCTAGATACAAGTCCATTTTTTACTATAGATTCCTGTCCTGCCAAATGATAGCACAGCCGCAATATTATTTAACACATTCTGGATTAAGTTTCCACTACTATTTTATTGCTATGTAGATCTCTACCTAACCAGCTTTCAATTGGTTACATTCCCTGAGAGATTAAGAGGAAAGGAAACCATCTGATTTTCATTAAGAACTATTTGAAAGGTATCACATATTAAAAAAATTACTTACCATTATGGGTGAGAGCTCAAGTGACATCCAATAGCCCCCCAATATAAAGCTCCCATTATGTCTTATTTTGGCTATACAGACAGAGCAGCATAGTTCCATTTTCAAATAATTTACAACTTAAATAGGGCAGGTTGAAACCTAATACATACTAAGTGACTTGAAACTCCATACCATGCATAGCATGCTTTGGACCAGAGAGAAGTTTCACCAAGGCCCAGAAGGCATCTTCTTCATTCATGTACATAAGGAGTAAAGCTGTGATCTGGCTCATTCCCTGACAGTATCCAACCTCCTGAAAATCAGACAGTGAAAATATTAAAACACTGAAAACAAAAGCCTCATAACTAAGGTTAACCTTAGCAATTAGTTTTTCCTTGAGCTAGTGGAGGAAAGAGGATGCCTGTCCTGATGGCCTAAGTTTGCTAATTACGACACCACCAAGCACACTCAATATTTAAAATATTGATAGATAGAAGGGATGATGCATAACCCTCCAACTGAAAAATAAACTGGAAGTCTTGACTGTCCATTAGAACTCTCTACTGATACACAAAATCCTTGTCAGTACTAATAATTTCAAGTAATGACATCATCTTATTCTCCGAATGGATGTGTTTTCCATTTAGTTGTAATTTGGGGTTTTTTGACGGGACAGGGTCTTGCTTTGTTTCGCTTTACAGTCAGGGCACCATCTGATAAACACAGGAGTTTTCAAGAGTGACCTGTAACTATAAACCTGCTCAAGTTTAGCAGCCCATAGCAAGCAGATGTAATAAACCCAAAGAAAAAAATTTTATTGTTCCAAAACTGGAGTATTTCCGCTGCTATTAATTTTGACTTTTATGGCAGGAACCAACTGTCACTATCATTTAGCTGCTCAGATAACCCCACTGATAAAGTATTTGTAAGGACAATTACTTAATTGTGGAATGACTTTTTTCAGGTTTACAAGTTCTTAGCAGAACTTTGCTCTAGAGATAAAACCAAAGCATAAGAATTGCTATACATTAAGAGGAAAAATGCAACAACATAAGTGCAAAATAAAAACCTCACTGTAGTATTCCCATCATTACACTTTAACAGTTGATTTTAAACAATATTTTTCACGCAACTTAAAAATACTAGTCCAATGTTCTATAGGAGATGTATGAAGGTCCTTCCAGAGTTTTACTTCTCAGTGTGTCAAGTCTGCTTACAAAGAAAAGCTTTGTAACATAAAACATAACAAGTGAAAGACAACAAATTCCAGCAATGTCAGTTCTTTTATAAGCCAACAATTATGAGGAAAAAGAAACTGAAACAGGACAGAAACCTTTAACAGAAAGGTTAAATTTCCTAGAACTTTGAAAAATGAAACAAAGTGGTATTTAATTAGGCTAACTGCTTAATTTCACTTTCTTCTTCTTAACTTTACATACTTTTACATTGAATTCTAGGGAGCTGCTGATGGATATAAAATGAAAGATGTACAAAAAAATGGCCAAAATGGGCACAAGGAATGAGGGATAGTGCATTAAAACCACAGTTAAATGCGGGCATGATAGCATTTCTGTTTCTTCTATTTTTAGCACGCAGCCAAAAGACATTACAAAATACATAAGTTTCTAACCCCTATGATATAGTCTGGAAACCCCACTCTAACTAATCCTCATCCAGAACTGCAGCCAAGACCGAGGGCTTAAGTAAAGATGACGCAACCTTTAAAACCATTTTCCATTTGGCATGGAAAGAGAGAACTACCAATAGCATAATACTCCAGGTTATAAAATATGCCTGTTTACTCCAACATGCACCTTCCTGCAGTGTGTTTTCCTTCCCATCATTCAAACAAATGGGAGGCATATTAATATAACAGGGGGAAAATATCAGTAGTATAAAACTCCAGCACAGCACAAATTCATTATTCTTATTAGACATAATACTTGGTTTTAGTCAAACTGTATGCACAGTTCAGTCTTTCCAATAAGATACTCATAATCAAGATGCTTTATTTTAACTGCAGCTCAAAACATGTCAACAAACAATTTATTTCGATGTACTTCCAAAGGTCTCTGAAATATTTGGTTTGGTTTGTTTTAGGAAGAAAGAAGATACAGAATTGAAGTTATTATCTTATGGCATGTTCAGAGAAACCATATTTAAGTGTGAAGGTATACAACTTACCGTATTATATATGGAATATGCAGCTAAAACATGGAATAAAGATTGTTGCCTGGAGAAATAAGAGTAGAAAAGGAAAATACTATAATATTGTCTTTTGTAAAAACAGAAAAACCTAAAAGTAGTGAACTATATTTTGGAAACCTGTTTCCCCAATTTGCCTTGTCTAGCACTAAGAACAGGATAGACCACACTTTACAATGATATGCACTTCTGATTTCAGACCAACATTATATTTAGCACTTTTCTGATGTTTTACATGTTGAAAGATTTCAGAAAAATACCTATAATACTTTGAGAAGGCAATGGTGTCAGATCATAATTTTTACAGACACGTAAAGTCAAACATAGGATGGGTACATTTAAAAAACTGATTTATTCTAAATGCCAAACTTTAAACACCCCAGACCTGATTTCTGTGCTTGTGGAACACTAACAGCTGTTACTAATTTCAAACAGAGATGTAGAAGAGTTGAAATACACAAAGCAGCCACAAAGGTGTCTTATTCTTGGCACCCAAATTAAAGGCTGCTTTAGTGTTTGCTACTGTCAAACTGAAGAAAAACAATACCAACTCTGATTCGGCATCCTATGCTCAGTCCTCCAGAGTGTACTGATCTCCATGTAGTTCAGAGTTAGACTTAAAAAGAGCTTTGTATAGGTCCTTTGCTTTCTGCAAAAACAGTCTAACTTGTGAAGGTACTAAGACAAAAAAAAAAACAAAAAACAAAAAACAAAAAACAACAACACACCCCAAAAACCAGCCAAAACAAAATTCTGCTCTTCTCAAACTGGGATATCAAAGTAATGATAGAGAGCTCTCATAATGAATTTTTAAACTCACACCTACTTTTTGTGATCTGTTGGGGAGAGAATTTGGAAACCTGAAACCCTACTTTCATCTACAACTAAAATTGCTAAAATTTAAACTGCTGAGTTTCACATACTGTCCTTTTTCTGTCCAGTAAAATTCTCTCTATCACTAATCAAATGTATAGAAATAGATATTACCAGGTTAAAAAAGAAAGCATAAGCAAAAAGTTGCGTATTTTCTATCAGAAAGAGGATGCATACTTGGAGAATTTTACCATTACATCTAGATTATGACATTTTTGCTTGCCCTCTTGCAGAACTGAAGCTTAGCCATTCTTCAGCAGCCAAAGTAAAGTGTAACCTAAAGTACTAGATACTAAGCTGGAGTCTTATTTTACAAGGATGAACTAAAAGGACCCAAATGTATACAGGAACCTTCTATATCTTCAGCTGACCATATGAAACTGAGCATAAGAGCTCAATCTCATTCATAGTAAGATACATAAAATGATGGTAGTTTTAGTACTATTTACACTAGATCATACCAGTAAAGACATGTGAAAGAATGAACCCTCAAAGACATACAGTCTACTTAAAAGTCAAACAAGCTATTGATTTACCCAGGGGACTTTATTTTATTGCTATGTGAAATGATTTCTGAATTTTTCATCAAGGCATCACTGGAAATGCATAATATATGTACAGTAATTCCAAGATCTATTCCAAGTGTGAAATTGCTTTATGCAGCCAAAGGCTTTCCTGTGAAGTCTGAGGGCATGCTCACAACACAGCTACAGGGACTGGAGCTGGCTCTGCTTGTGTTAACCCCAAACTGACGAGGTAGCGAGCTTCTGGTAACATCTAAAATGTATGCATAAAAACTAACTGGGGCCCAGAAACAACACAGTCATTTTTGTATGGCACTGTGTCAGTACTACTGAGAAGCGAGGCACGTCAGCTCAAGTACAGATAACACTGCACAAATATATCTAAACTACAGTGGCTGCACAGAATAGCTCTCAGCTTGGGAATTTCTGCTTTGTATTCCACCCTGTGTTGCAGCCACCAGAGAAATTCCCCATATTTAGAATTTGTCCACAAAATACCTAGAAAAATAATATAAGAAGATGTTTGTTTTATTATCACATTAAAGTCCACAGCTCTTGAGTATTGCTTTTTGAAAATAGCAGACTACTGTAGAATCTGCCTTGGAAAGAAAAGGAGATTAGAAACTGAACCTATACAGTCACAGAAGGGAAAAAATATCCTCTTCATCTCAGCAGGGTGCTGATGCTGCAAGCTAGCAACAATACTGATGTTTGTATCGCCACTTATTTCACTATTAAGCATTTTTAAACATGACAGCTGCCTAATATTCCTCGTCCAATGGCAGTAAAAAAAAATTTTTTTTTTTAAGAAATCTAAAAGCATTAAGGCCTACATTTGTAAATAATTAAATGCTAACATATAAAATACTGCTTTATTTGGTCTGAATTAGATACTAGAAGAGCAATATAAAATCCAAAAGAAGGCTAAAATCTCTGGGAAGATAAAAGTTATTAGAGATGCAACAAGTTATTTTGTTTTTGAAGATACACAGTTAAATAAAATGATTACATAATAAATTTTAATTTATTAGCTTGGAATTCCCGTGCTTTTGTATTTACAATATGCAAGACTTTTTATTAAATATGAAACAAAATGAGAACAGTTTAGAAATGGTTTTCTTTGGAATGCTACTGACCACCTCATAGTGAGGGAAAACTAGTTGGTTGGAAGTGACCATCTGGTTTTGTGGTAGTAATGGTAATTACATCATTGCACATAGACAATCCTGCTTTGAAAGTTTGGAGCTTACATTCAATATGCTTGCATAAGTTGAAGAGGCTTGAGGCCTGATCGGAAGTCAGTTTTAAGACAAGCAAAACAAAACCTTTTAATTTACTTACTTCACACCATATCTGTCTCGAAACATGATATGATCTCTATACGTTCGATTTACATCAAGATCAATTTGCCTAATATCTGGCGAAGACCCTCGTGCTTGACACTTCAATTTCTGGGAAAACAGTAAAGAACAGAAATTAAGTTTAAAACTGTGAGCTCTAAAATACCAGAAACCTGCCTGACTGTACACCTATATTGAGGTATTTGCAATCTCATGACTTAAAACACTTAATATAGAATAGCAGCTCACAAGATAACAATTTTAACACCTAAAATATGCATATACATACATACAAGTCAGGCACATTCACACAGTATTGATGTAAAAAGACCAATCCCATAACACACATTTTTGTGACATGCCATTCACTACCCATATTCAAGGCTATGTTTCAGCATTTCAAATTTATAATTGCTATTTCTCAGGTAGGCACATCACTGGAGAAAAACAGAAAGTGAATTTTACTACTCAGGAACAAGAACCTAAGATGCAAGTTCTCCAGACTACACATCTAGCAAATGATTTAGTGTGGTTTTCATACTTTTCCTGTGTTTTTCTTGAAGCAGAAGTAATAACTACATAGCTGCCAGCTATTATCTAAGTATAGATAATGGACATTTCTCCAGTCATTTCCTCTGTCTTTCTATTCTAATCTAATGTAGTTGTAGAATACCTCTACTTTAGCACTTGCTTTAACATTTTATAATTAAATCCAATTTTGCAATTGATTACTTAGGAAGCCTGGACAGGTTAGATTGCCACCTTTTTTTTTTTTGCACTTAGAATAATTTTCTCTTGACACTCATTCATTCATTCTCACTTCTGTCCCTAGAAGTTGAGTTTGCAAGACATTTCAAACTGGATTCAACATGGTATTTTCCAAACATTACATCTGAGCAGGCAGGCATTATTAGAGAATACCACAGACAATCAAAAAGCAGAACTCTACAGACTGTGGTTGCAAGAAAACAAAAAGATTTGAAGACAAAAATAAGAAAATCAAAGGGATCAAACAGGGAACAATAACATCCATTAAGTCTGCTGAGCACAACCAGAAGCTTCAGGCACATCGAGAATTACCTGTAAGTCATTGAACCAACTGGTATCGACCATTAACCAGCACAACACTAACCACAATCTCAGCTTCCTGCACCTTCCAGTATAATTTAAAGTACTAACATCCAGAACGATTTGTCCCCAGACCCAGAGCCTATCATTTGTTGGAATATAAAAAAAGAAGCACTCAGAGTCCTTGCCATCATGGGACCCTCTAGCATGAGTGAAAAGAAAGGGTACCTAGAGTTCGAGAAATGGAAAGAAGATTAAGAACTGGTAATTGCCCTGCACATAGAGCTGAAAGAAGTTGTTTGACCTACAGCAAATGCGCATATTTTCCTTCTAATTTTAAGGTGTGAAATGTGTAAGTGATATGTGAATTAGGAGTGTTAATATCACTTCAGGAAATGGGAAAAATGGAGAGCAGTAAAATGAGCTTATCACAAATAAATAAGCTAGGATAATGATGGAAGAAACTCTTTCTACTTCTATATCTGAGCTACAAACGCTTTTTTGTTTTGCATTGAGCACTAGATGGCATTAATCATTTCTGAAGATGAATTCACCTATTTTTAAATGCTTCCAGTTTTACTCAGTATTCTTTCCCACAACTACATTATTCAGCATGAACTCTGTTTTATCCCTTTTGGATCTGCCACTAGTCTTACTTATGAAGTTAAACAAAACATAATAGTCAGAAAGAGCAGCCTGTCAGACTAAAGAGTGATAAATAATTTAAAAGGAAGATCACAGACACCAAAATTTAGATAACATCAGTGCCAACATCGATCTTCTTTCATAACCTTATAAGATTCCTTGTCTACTCAGACCCAAAGTCTCCAAAAAAGTGCTATTAGAAAATGCCAAAATCAAACAAGCAAAGCATTTCCTTGAAACTCTGGACATTATTTCTTTAAAAGGCAGTGGACATTTAAATTCCTGTGGGGAAAAATTCAAACACTCTACAATACTAAATTGCCTTTCTGTTAGCTAAACTCTCCCTATAATCCTTTAGCAGAAAGAGAGACAGACAGAGAGGAAGAGAGAGAATTTTAAAGGATTCGATTCCCCTTCTGCCTAACTTACTAGCCTGCACGTGAACTTTACTTTCCACTCTTGGGTCTCAAGTTTAGCTCTGATGGCCATGAGCTGTATTCACACCCACAGAAAAAGTAGAGTTAGTAGGGAAAAATTTAGAGGAATACAACCACAATAATTTAGAGGTTGTTTTAACTGCTACTCAGGTTGAGGGTGGGGGCTGGCAGGGGTAACACAGAGCTATTTTCTTTATATTCTAAGTTGGAGATATGCTTAAGTGGTCGATTTATGCCTGCAGAATTTTGTGGGTGACTCTCTATCATGAGTTGCACCTCTGAGAATACAACCAAGTAACCAGACAGCGCTTTGCAAGGGATATCTAAGCCTCACTTGGAGATGAGATGGCAGAAGGATAGCCAGCTTGTTCTGGCTTTTACAATATTAAGGCACCAACCTCCATCCCCTCCAGAATACTGGAACTCCTGTTACTGATATTCAGCCAACAAGGTGCTCCCTTAATAAACATTCTCAAAGACCTGTAGTTTCAGAGGCTTCTGTCTTTTTGCTGGGACAGGGGTTTTCCTTATTTTGTTTTGCTCTGCTTTTAGAAGGCCTTTTGCAAGTATTTGAGGATGGGAAAAGAAATGGAAAGAAGATCAAATTAATTACATGAATTACAGAACCAAAAAATAAGCTGAAAAAGTGCTTTTTCAATACATTGCCTTTTTCCTAGCTAAAACAAGCAGTAGAGTTCAATGCGATTTCTAATCCTTTTTTTTTAAACACTGCATAACAACAAAAGCTTAATAAAGCCTGTAGTCTTAGTATCCAAAATGTTTAAATTAATATTAAGTGGAAATTCTACAAACTCACATTATAAGTGTCTTTCATTTCTTCTTTCATTTTAGGGACATCAAGTAGTAAAGACCAGACTTGTCCTCTGAACTGCAGTGGGATTCCTTTATAAATTCTCCTATGAAACTGTAAAAACGAAAAGAAAATATAAATGCAGTACAATCTATAACATTCTGAACAAAAGGAACAGTGACATACAACATGCTAAAGAGAAAAATGCAATTATGTCAATTGTCCTAGCAAAGGGGTGACCAGCTGCAGACAAAGCCTTCCAGTGTCTTTTGAGTGACCAAAAATGTCCAGTGACGCCATCTGGGACCTCTGTTGACAGAATCAGCGGAGGCACAGGGAACAAAATGGACACACAAGCCAAAACATCACTCTGTGCAGGTGACACTTACAAGCCAGAACTTTAGCATGTAGGAAGGCCTATCAAAATTGTATCACCTTTGCTGAGCAGCACTTATTCTACAAATATTGGAAAGACTACTCCAACTTTTGGAATTTAGACCCAAAAAATCAGATTCTTAGCAACACTATTTCAGGACAAGCCACAAATAACTCACCATAATTACAAACAATAAATGGGAATGGTGAAAGGCAATCAGCAATATCACAAAGCTTTAAAGATTACCAGTAAAATAAAAGCATAACTGATTTTTGAATTCTTGTAAAACTGCACCAGTACGCTAAAACGTATGTATGTATGCATACCAAACAAATATGTGAGATCACCAAAAAAACCAGGACGTGCCATTTCTAAAGCTAACATATTTTAGATCATATTTCTAAATTAATAATCAGTTTTCTAAATGCATATTAAAACATTTGCACAAAAACAATGGATAAAAGATATTCTAGCTACAGTTCCTAAGAATACAGAACAACCTACCAATGCTGCACACAATTCTTAGCTGTGAAATAGAAAATTAAATTCCCCATTCCTGACACATTCTGTTCTGACACATAAAGCTTGTATTAGAAATGGGTCAGAAGGGGATAACTCAGTACCTGTGCATAACTAGAGTCATTATATAAACTATTTATCAGTCTTGCCTCTGACATGTCACTGCCCTTGCACTCTCATTCAGTGGTTTGGTTCTTGCTGGGCTTATTTGAAAAAAATCAGGAGCACTGACAACTGTCTTCCTCAGTTCTCTTCTGATTTGTATCTCTTTATGCTGCAGCATTTAGGAGCACGAAGAGCCTCTAAATAGAGAAAGATGGACTAGCTGGCTAAAGTCTTGGCTTTACGCAGCCGGGAGAGACTCAAGATAAGCAAAGCCTCAGAGCAACTGAATCCTAGTAATTCTAAAAACACACACACAAAAAACCCCATTATCATCTTTCAGGAGACATATCTAAGAAAAGGAAAAACAGAGAACTCTACCAAAGAAAATGAACCTTTCTGAAGTTCTGTTTTTACCATTATTTTAATGATGGCACAGGGAGACAATTAGATTTAAAAGAGAACAAAACACATGCAACCCCTCCCCAAACAATTTACTCTTTGCATTTAACATGCAATGAAAGTTAGACCTTAAAAATTTCAATTGCCAAAGCTATCCCTTCCTTGAAACATTTATAAAAGTTAAGTTTGTAACATAAGAAATACTTTAAAAGAAATGTCCTCCTCAAAGACAGGATCCTTTTTTTGTTTTTCATATATTTCACATCTCCAGTTTGGAAGATTAATGAACCCCTCATTGCACTACATCTGCAAACTTCCGGCTGTTTGGGATATATCAGATCTTTGAAGGTGTCTTTAATGCCAGCAACGATTTATGTCTGGATTTTAGAATGTATAACTCTGACACAAGTAAGGTTATGACTTTTCTTTCCATGTCCCCTTTTCCAGTGAAAATTTTAAATTGGTATAAGATGCAACAGCAATCCTGGACACTGTCCACAAATAAAATGTGCTTTTTAAAGAAAACTTTGCTGCTTTAATATTATTAAGAATGCTAAAGCAGCAACACTTTTAGTGTGAGCACAGTTGTGTCAGTACAGTTTCTTCTGTGAGGATAAAGAACAACCTACAGTGCTATAAAGCATCCTTCTCCATAGATGTATATCCAGACTTCAGCTCACACAGAGAATTTCAGTGTGTGACAACCTGGACACAAGGATAACCGCTTGCGAGAAAGAGGATAATTCAGTCTTTTGAAAGCCAAGCAACACCAATTGCAGTGGAGTCATCCTGAGATTATTAGCCTGTCTACTGAAAAGCAGAATAAGCCAAATTTGCGAAATCTTTTCTGGGAACTTGAAGGAAAAACATGGAAAAAAAAAATGCAGTGTGATATGTCCCCAGTGACATGTAGCTGTGTTCCTCAGACCCATGGTACAGCAACAGTATAACTTGACAACAAACATTTTTGCCAGTTAATTATTCATTTTGTAACTCATTTTCAAATGTCTGCAACAACCATAAGATTATTAATGAAGAGAATTGGTTGAAGAATAAATTCTCAAGACTACTGTTGTTCTAAATGAATATTTTCGGAGAAGGTCAGGTGGATATCAAAGGCCAGAAATAAGCCTTTGTAATAATCGTTTCTTATTGAAACAGAATTAAAACAAATCCAAACCATACAAAGTGTAGGGCTGTTTTGTTTTTTTTCAGGACATAAAACTGAAGGAGAACAACAACCAGTTTCAGAGAAGTCTATGGCATTTACAGTTTTCCCATCTTCCGCACTTCCCAGACTGAAACACCCAAACACTAGAAGAGTCCTTGAAGTAGTAAGTAAAAACTGAGATAGAGAATTGTGGAAGTGCTTTTAAAAGAAAAGTTTGGAAAATGAGTTGGCAAATACAACTTTAAAAAGAGTGGAATGGATAGAGAGTCTAGTTTCATCAGCCTACTATAGTCATGCCAAACAAAACAAAAGGAAAGCAAACATTTTCAGTAGCTAAGATCAGAATTATTGCACTACCTGACAGAATAAACCCAAATAACATTCAGAGCTCCTTGCAAACCATTTTAGATCTGTATCCAGCTGACTCTGCTGTTTCAACTATTCTTCAATTTAGGCATAGAAAAAAAGCTCTCAGTCATCTCAATTCATTACAAGATCCTGCCTACAGACTCAGCAGAACAGACTAAAGACTTTCACTGTCTGCCCTCTATATGAGAGAGAAACGTAACTCAAGAACAGAGCCTTTCATGGCACATGCTCCATTACACAGACGATGATGTGGAAACAAGCATGAAAAATTTTATATACAGTGGAAAACAGAGGAGTGGCTGATGCCTGAGAGGGTCATGCTGCCACCCAGAGGGACCTCAACAGGCTGGAGAAATGGGCCAACAGGAATATCATGGAGTCCAACAAGGAGAGGTGCAAAGTCCTGCACCTGGGGAGGAAGAGCCCCAGGCACCAGCACGTGCTGGGGGCCACCCGGCTGGAAAGCAGCTTGGCAGAAAAGGACCTGGGGGTCCTGGTGGACACCGAGTTGAAGAGGAGCCAGCAACTGTATCCTTGAAGCAAAGGAGACTAAGGGTGTCCTGGGCTGCGTTAGATAAAGTATTGCCAGCAGGTCCCCTCTACTCAGCACTGGCTGAGGACACACCTGGAGTACTGTGTCCAGTTCTGGGCTCTCCAGTACAAGACAGACAGGGACAGACTGGAGAGAGTCCAATGAAGGGCCATGAAGATGATGAAGGGACTAGAGCACCTCACACATGAGGAAGGGCTGAGAGAGCTGGGACTGTTCAGCCTGGAGAAGAGAAGGCCCAGGGGGACCCTATCAATGGACATAAGTACCTGAAGGGAGGGTGCCAAGAGGAGAAGAGCGCCAGGCTCTTTTCAGTGGTGCCCACCGACAGGACCAGAGGCAATGGGCACACACTGAAACACTGGAGGTTCCCTCTGAACATCGGGAAACACTTTGTCACCGCCGGGGTGACCGAGCACTGGCACAGGTTACCCAGGGAGGTGGTGGAGTCTCCGTCCTTGCAGATACTCAGAAGCTGTCTGGACATGGTCCTGGCCGACCAGCTGTGAGTGGCCCTGCTTGAGCAGAGGAGTTGGACCAGATGACCTCCACAGGTCCCTTCCAACCTCAACCTTTCTGTGATCCTGTGCAATTCTGCAATTTTGTGGAAAATGACACAGCTGCACTGCATCTCAGGGGACGGGGGGCGGCAGGGGGAACCCACGCATACTTCACAGCAAAAGTCACTTCTGATAATCATTCAGTCACCAAACAGTTAAAGAAAATATAAATGAGCAAACTGATTATTAGCTAACTGAATATCTTTACAATAAGTTACCATACCACTGCCCTCAGGTGTCTTTTATTTCCTTATGTAATATAAGGTTGAAAATATGTTGAGAAACGCTTGGTTAGGTCTGTATACTTGCAGAACCCTAATCTACTCTTCTGTTCCCTCTGAATTAATAATTAAAATAAAAAGTAGAAAATTCAGCAAGTTACTTTATTTTTTCTTCTACTTCTGGGGAGATTAAATGAGTCAATCATCAACAAATTCTTTAAAATTAAGGCTTTCTTAAGATAATAGCTCAAAACAAAATATAAGTATATAAAATCAGAGTTCAGATAATTGTTGTATGCAAACATGCATCATTCAAAGAATGGTGTTACAGAATCTGGGATGTTTCCATCAGCATAACACATAGAAAAAAGGAAGTCATCCTCAGTAGATATAATTATATAAACGCAACTTAAATAAAAATTAAGTTCTGTATCACACCTAAGCTGATCTTCAGCTAAGGACAGTTATCATAAACTCTTGTAATTATTACTAATATTGTTGAACCTGAAGTAGATAGGACAAGCAGACACTAGATGAGGCCCTACCACCTGGGAATTCAAAAGGAGCTTCTCATGCAAAAAGAAATTGGTCCTGTAAATTGGACCTTCCCATTGTGAAACAAGAGAATATACAGAATGAATTAAAAAGCAAGGAGGAAAAAAAAAATCTCTCAGATTTGGAATATTCCAAGTTAGCTATCATCTCAAATATTGAAGTCCATAACATCCAATATTCAATGTAGCCTCCATGCAAAAAACCTGGAAAGCAGACAACCTCCCCCCTTCCTTCCACTGCCCCAATCTCTCCGGCTCATAAACCCAGCTAGTTCCTGGACAAGAAACGA